GGTTTTTCTGTTGTTTCACGTATAATTTACCCCAAGGTCATCTAGATATGCTTATATATTATTTTCTAGAAACTATATCTTCTGGAATTGATTTTTGTGTATGGCATAAGCTGGGAGCCAAAGTTATTTTTGCTACATGGCTGTATATCCAATTTGTCCAGTTCCACTTACTTAAATGATTAACTTTCTCCCTGAGCACTGTATTGGTATCTTCGTTGTAAATGAGGTGACCATACTTGTGTGTCTTGTTTGTAGACTCTTTTCTTGTCCTATTGGTCTATTTATCTATATTTACCTAAACATATATATATTTATTCCTGCATAACAAAATATTCTTGTACACAATTCATATTATCTTAATTATTATGGCTTTTCTGACTGAAAGTTCTTCAAATTTCTTCTTCTGGATGGCTTTGGCTGTTCTTAGATCTTTGATATCCATACATATTTTAGAATCAATTTGTTGATTTCCATTTTCAAACAATCTGTTGAGATTTTGATTTGCATTGCATTGAATACATAGATTATTTGGATGAGAATTTTCCCTGATTTAATTTTCATAATATTAGACTAATCTACAAATATGACATATCTCTGATTAATGTAGGGCTTCTTTATTTAAGAAATGTCATGTTGATTTCTGGACAAAGGTCTTATAAATTTTTTATTAGATTTGTTCCTAGGTATTTGATATTTTCTGATGCTATAGGAAATGGCATTTTTAAAATTTCCTCTTTATAATTTTTACTGCTAATATGTGGAAATACAATTCCATTGTGTAATATTGACCTTATGTCCAGTGATTATACCAAATCATTTATTAATTCTAATATTTGAGATATATTCTTTAATTTTTTAATATAAAAAACATGTTGTATCTTTTATTTTTTGAAGAGCTGAGAAATCTTTTCCCGCAAACCCTAAAACACAAGCATCCATATCTTATTTACTGCAAGTGGGAAATGCCTATTACCAAACCAGTCACCAGAGTGGTAGTGAGATTACTATGACCTGGTTAGTCAACCACACTACTCTTTATATATCAGCTATACTGTGTTATAAATCAGTTTTTCTTTATTTTAAACAAATACATAAATATTTAGAAATTAATGATTGTATTAGAAGTTTGAACATCTCTGATAGATTATTGTGGACTATTTCTCCATCTAAATGAGCTGAAATTACAGACCTTAAATTTTGTAAATTCTTAGCAATCAGGCCAGGCCTGGTGGCTCATACCTATAATCCCAGCACTTTGGGAGGCCGAGGCAGACAGATCACTTGAGCTCAGGAGTTCATTTCTGAGTTATCTAAATCTGTACTGCAAGGTTTGCCAAACTTCACACAATTGGCATTTTGGACCACATAATTCTGTGTCGTTGGAGGCTCACCTGTGCATTAAAGGGGTTGAGCAGCATCCCTGATGCCTATATACTAAACGCCAGTAGGACTCCTCCTCCCAATTACAGCACTCTTCAGACATTTTCAAATTTCCCCTGGGGGGAAAGTGCCCCTAGCTGAGAACAACAACTGTACTATGGTGAACAAAATTTTAATAACTAGGTAAATGTAAAAATATGGGTTTTAAAAAATCTCATAGCCATTTTCCTATGGCATTAAAAACTTTTCAAAAACGTTCTGTAAAATCTATATAAGTTTATTCTATAGGCATCTAGCATCCTACTGGAAATTGAGGTTGTTGTAGATTTTTAAAAATAACGGATGCTATAATAATCACCTTTGAGCATATAACACTGTGAACATACATGAGTGGTTTTTTTTAGAATTAATGCCTGGAGAGGAGTTGTGCACTTCATGTAAACTTTTATATGTGTCATCATATTATCAAATTTTCATCTTGGAAGGTGCTATGAATTTATAATTCTATCTGGTAGTATATTAGAGAGCTTGTTTTCTTACAATAGTGTAAAACCTGATTAAATATAATTGTTTTCAGGAATATAATAGCTGTATATTCTTAGAACAAGAGTGATATATGCTCATTGAAATCATTCAGAAGATGAAGTATGAAAAGAATGAAAAATCGCCCTTTCAGATTTTTTTAATGAGCACATAGATACATATACAATTTTAAATGGAACAGAGGCAAAGAGAAAGGAGAGAATATTGAAGACAATAGAGTTAAAAAGAGGGGCTTCTTTACAGTTTGAGATCTTAGAAGATAGCAAAAAAATAAGTAGAAGACATGTATATATATATTCCTTTAAAGAGAGCAAGGGTAGATGGGGAGCATTTTAATTATTACTAAGTCAGGGACCATGACTAAGGCCCACAGAGATTCAAGAAAGGAGGAAAACTCTCAGTGAATTGAAATGACTCCCAAGAGGAAAACTGGATCTGTAAAACTGGTGAAAGTTGAACTACAGAACAAAGGGAACAGCTATAAGTGGGGTTCATACCCCAAAATTACTAGGACTATACATGGAATAGTGGTTAACATGGTCATAATAGAATCACTGATTCTCACCATCTTCCTGATCTTTCCAACTGAGCAAGTTTTCCCTGTTTTGGTAAGTGGCACCACCATCCATAAAAATATAGGATTCATCATTTACTGCTGTCCTTCTCTCATGATCTGACAGCCATTCGAGTTTCAGCTGAAGTCCCAGACATCAAGGAACACAGATAATCCATCCCCACTATCTACTGTCTGAATTCTAGCTCTACCAAAATCCCTGGGAATGATAAAATGGATGTTGTTTCACGACACTGAATTGTGGAATAATGATGAGCAGACGTTCTGTTCATTTTTCTTCTTCACTTACATCCATCCTGTATTTTATCAAGATTTCAGTTTCCATATTCCATTCTTACTCAATTCCCATTCCATTCTTTATGAACTGTATTCTGTATTTCATTCCAAAGCTCATTCTATTCTTTTCTGGTATTTAAAAATCTGTACTGCATATTTCATAGTTCAATTATTCTAGACCATTGCACACTTTGTTCCATTCTATATTCCTTCCAATTTTGATTTCTTTTTTAAAAATATTTTATTTCATATTGTACTTCATTCCTTTTCTCATATATTTTTTTTCATTCCATATGACATTAGATATTTGTTTCCATTTGCTGTTCATTCCATTTTCCCATTAAATTCCATTAAATTTCCAATATTCCACTCCACATCCTGTTCAAAGCCATGTTCTACTCCCTATTTTGTTCCAGTTTCCATTGCAGTCTCCATTTCATCCCATCCTGCATACCATTTCAAATCCATTTTCCATCCTATAGTATTTAACACTCCAAATACCATTCCATTCTGTTTTTGAGTTGCATTTCAGCCCAATTGTTTACCAATTCTATTAAATATCTGATTTTATTCTGCTAAAAATATTATAACAGTGACATTCAGGAGACTGGTTTGCCAATATTTTTAATCAAAGAATAACAAATGTGGCTGGGCACGATGGCTCATGCCTGTAATCCCGGCACTGGGAGGCGGATCAACTGAGGTCAGGAGTTTGAGACCAGCCTGGCCAACATGATGAAACCCTGCCTCTACTAAAAATACAAAAACATTAGCCAGGCATGGTGGCACACGCCTGTAGTCCCAGCTACTCCAGAGGCTGAGGCAGGAGAATTACTTGAACCTGGGAGGCGGAGGTTGCAGTGAGCCAAGATCACGTCACTGCTCTCCAGCCTGGGAGACAGAGCCAGACCCCATCTCAAAAATAAATAAATAAATAAGAACAAATATGCATAGACTTGTACCAAGAATTTTCTCTTCTGGGATTTTATCCAAAACGACACATTTAAGGATATGAACAATTTTTAATGAGATAGATGTATCTCACAATGATGTAAGATGCTGGAAACTACACAAATGGTGGCCAATATGGGAATGTTTGAAAATGTAAACCTCTATAAATGGAATATTTTGTGATTTAAAGTGGTCTTGTAGAAATTTGTTTACTGACATAGAAAGTGTACTTTCTGGAACCCAAAGCAGGTTACAACACAGTACCTATGGAGAAACTATTCCATTTCATACAATAAACAATTTTTAAAAACTATGAAATATATATGAATGGCCTTTCTACCAACATCTAAGTAAAAATTTCCAGCATTTGTCCATGGGTGTGTGAGGACTTAGGAATAGTTTTCCTACATTTGCTTTTCTGTTTTGAGTACCGAACACGACCCCTTTTGTAATAAATAATGACTGAAAATTAGTGTCCATATATTAAACTCAGTCTGTACATCACAGCATATTTATATTAATAGGAACTAGAGACCACCCCAAATAAATTAATGTGTGTTCGTTATCGGATTACTACACAGCCCCTACAAATATTTAAGGACCGTATTACCCTTAACCTTAGGCAATCCCAAACAGTGCCTCAGGGGACAAGGCAGGGAGAAGCATCTGACTGTTAAGTTCTAAATCCCCCTCTGGTGTGTGGGACCTGAGGGAAGCAGTAGTGCTGAACATCCAGAGCCAAGACGGTGTGGGCCCCCTCCCTCTTCTGGCCTTCAGGCCTGTGTGCAACCCTGAAACCCACCAGACCCCACGTCATCTAGATGCCTGGAGGAGTTCCGGAGTGATCCCTCGGGCGTCATCCATGGGCCCATTGTCCTGACCGGGTGTGAGGAGGGACACCTGGCTAGGAGATAAAACCTGCCGGCCAATGTGGCATTTCTTTCAAATGACCATTTAAGCCTCAGCCAGGATTTGGGGTGACTCAAATCGTTCACGTAGAAAACACACACACACGTCTTAGGGGACCCGTGTGAGGAGAGGACATTCACCTATTGACCCAGCGGCCAGGGTTGAAGGGTCGACCCCGAGAGGCTGGAGCACACACACCAGGTTGAATACAGGTGCCGGGCTCCGGATTGCACCGATCGGAGTTAGATGGCTCCGGGGAAGAGAGAAGAGTCATGTGACATTTAGCTCACCAATCAGAGGCAAGCACTGGCAGGGCTCCACCCACCTTCTTGCTATACTAGCTCGCACGCTCCTCCCGCAGCAGTAGCAGCCGCGCTCCTTGCTCTGTGCGGGAGAACTTGCCACTACAGTCACCCAGTCAAACATGGAGACGGAGCAGAAGCACCAGCAGGACAAGGTGCTGGGAAGACCAAACAACAAAGCCGCCCCTGCCTCCGGGGATGCCTGCAGGACCGGGAATCAAGATCCTGCTTCCTCCGTTCCCACTGTCTCCAGCGATGTGTCTCCCTCGGGCAGCGCCTCCCTGAGCAGCAGCAGAGCCGGTTCTACCGCTGCCGCCATTTTCACTGCTCATGAGAACCCGGGCCTGCCCATCATGGCTGCTGTTCCGTCGGAGAGGTATTCTGACCTCCAGGCCTGCTGCAGTCTTCGCGAAGACCTTGGATGTGAGGTGACTGAGGGGGGCAGCCAGGCTGCTGTGGGGCCACCCCCGAAGGCCACTGGCCATGCCGAGCACCCAGCCGGGACCAAGAGCCCCTGGAACAACCGCCGTAGGAAGCAGCCCTGCCGCGACCGGGGTGCCTATGGTCAGAAGCCTCCAGGGCGGTGTCTGTTAACTAGGCTTTTGCCGCCATCTTCTCCAGGGTCCCAGCCCAGCAGCCGTCGCTGTTCCCAGGCTTCTACATCGAGTCAGGCAACCCAGCCAGGCCCTGCACTCCTAAGCCATGCCTCTGAGACAAGGCCTGCTAGCCAAAGTCTCATCGCCCTGCCAGCTTCTGCTCGCCACGGACATGCATCTGGTCCAGGCCCTGTCTTCCAACACTGCACCGCCCCGCCAGGCCTTTCTTTTCCCCCATTTGCCGTTCATCTAGACCCTGCTCGTCTAAGCCCTGAATCTGCGCCAGACCCGACTGGTGGAGGCCATGCATCCGCGCCAGAGCCGACTCGTGGAGGCCGTGCATCCGCGCCAGAGCCGACTCGTGGAGGCCGTCCATCCGCGCCAGACCCGACTCGTGGAGGCCGTGCATCCGCGCCAGACCCGACTCCTGGAGGCCGTGCATCCGCGCCAGAGCCGACTCGTGGAGGCCGTCCATCCGCGCCAGACCCGACTCGTGGAGGCCGTGCATCCGCGCCAGACCCGACTCGCGGAGGCCGTGCATCCGCGCCAGGCCCGACTCGCCGAGGCCGTGCATCCGCGCCAGGCCCCGCTGGTCGAGGCCGTGCATCCGCGCCAGGCCCCGCTGGTCGAGGCCGTGCACCCGCGCCAGGCCCCGCTGGTCGAGGCCGTGCACCCGCGCCAGGCCCGGCTCGCCGAGGCCGTGCACCCGCGCCAGGCCCGGCTCCGCGAGGCCGTGCACCCGCGCCAGGCCCCGCTCCGCGAGGCAGTGCATCTGCGACAGGCGCCGCTCCGCGAGGCCGTGCATCTACGCCAGGCTCTGATCACCGCAGCCGCAGCCGAGCTTTCCGCGGAGTTGCTTCCAGGTCAGGCCCTGCCCTCCGAGGCCGCACATCCGGGTCAAGCCCTCCGCTCCAACGCAGCGGCCATCCGCCAGGCCGTGCCCTTCGCAGCACAGCAAGATCAACCCCTGCTCGTCGCAGCACCAGCATGACGCCAGACACTGGCCTCCGGAGCTGTTCCACCCAGCGAAGATCAGCCCTTCTCAGCCGCTCTCTGTCTGGGCCAGCTGATGAGAATCCTTCCTGTGGGGCTGGCTTACGAAGGCTTGCCTTTCAGAGCAGCTCAGGCTCTCCTGATCCTGAGGTGCCAAGCAGTCCTTCCCCACCTGTTTGGCATGCAGTCCGTATGCGTGCCTCCTCACCCTCACCCCCTAGGAGTTACTTCCTTCCCATCCCTCAGCAGTGGGATGAGAGCTCCTCTTCCTCATCCCCTTCCCCAAGTAGGTCTCCTGGCACAAGTCCGTCCTCCTCCCCGACTAAGATTTCTGGGCAGAGTTCCTCTTCCTCTTCCCCTGAGTTTTTGGGCCTGAGGTCTATCTCCACTCCTAGCCCTGAGAGCCTTAGGCGTGCCTTGATGCCTGAGCTTTATGCTCCAAGCCCTGTCCCTCCAGAAGAGCAGGCAGAAATAGAGAGCACAGCTCATCCCCCACCACCACCTGAGCTGTGACCTTCTGTGAGCATCCTCTAAGACTCACAGAAGGAATCAGCATCTACTTTGTGAATGGGCTGCCTGCCCTGTAGTTACCTGCGAGGTCTCCCAAAGTTCTAGCTGTTAACCAACATTCTGCGTAGTTTTGAAGCCTCCCCTCCCCATGACTCCACCACCTAGCACTTAACCTGCTGTCGGCCTTTGATTCTGGCCCACCTTCTTCCTCAAGAATTTGCTTTTGCCCTTGAGCTGAGACTCTGTTTTCCAGGTTGCTTTCTGTTATGAAGTGTTTTAATTAGTAAAGTGTTGATTTTGTTTTAAAAATGTAGAGGTGTGTTTTTTTATTGCGGTTCAAAAAACTCGTTAATCCTATATCCTATTTAGAGGATTAAAGAAAATTGTTAACATACTAGCTTACCCTTTGGGTGAGAGAAGAAATAAAATACTGTTCTAGCAATAATTTATTCCCACTGAATGAAATGGGAATATGTGCAGGAAGTTCCTACTTAGTCTCTATATACCCTGTTAGCAGAGGTGATTAGCAACTTGGGCAAGAAAAGGGGGCAGGGTTTAACCCAAGGCGATTGGTGAAAAGGAGGGGTGATGGAGACATCCAGGGTCAGGAAAGAAGCAGGGCATGATGAAGTGTGGGGTGAGAAGGAGGGGAAGATAACCCAGATGGGAGTAAAGCTGGGAGGAAGATCCAGGATCAGAAAATGGGGAACAGCAGGAGTCAGGAGCTTGAGAGTGGAATGTCTCTGTTTCTAAAGGAAAAAAAAAAGTATATGTGTGGGGAACGGGCTTCTGAGGACTTTCCAGGTGGGGAAAATGTGGGAAGGTGATTCAGGGCTGATAACTGTTGGGAAAATGGTCAGACATTTAGTGAAAGTATGTGTTAATCTATAATCTTAGTGTAAGAAAAATAATGGTAACTGAGTTTGAGCAGATCCGTGAGGGAGGGTATGTGAGTGTGTGTGTGTGTGTGTGTGTGTGTGTGTGTGTGTAGACATTTGGAGAGAAAACATGGGCATACACCATGCTCTGAATAAGGTGTATATCTGATTCTTTAATAACTGGTGATATGGTCTTCTATATTCTACAAGTTCCACATTGACCATATAACTACTCTTGTAATTAAACTAAGCTATTTTTCAAAAATTTAAGTGGTAGGAGCATAATAGAGACCACATTAAAAGAATAGAGTGAAAAAATAAAAAGCAAACCAGCAAAAGAAACTCCCTTTCACTCCCTTCTCATATTTCTCCTCTCCTTTGCTATTCTGGTATGTGAACAGTACAGGCATAGACCTGACTAAAAAGTGCTCTAGTCACAATTTGGAGGGTCCTGTTCAGGTCCTGCTCATGCTTTATTCACACCACAAAGCTAAGAGTTCACGGGGACAAGTGGGACCTGTGTGCCCACCAGGTCCCAACATCTGCCACTTTTATAGAAAATGTTTCAGGTACCCTCATTCTTCAAGACTGTTTCTAAAACCTGCAAGGTCCTTCCTAAGGAAAGAACACATTTTAAAAGCTCTTGGTCTGTTTTATTTCTTTTACTTCAGTAATTCCAGATATCCAAAGACTAAGACAAGAAGTAGACAGTTTTGGTGCAGCAAGTCACAACCTCCCAGTATTGGAGGGCCTACATTTATTCCCATTTCACAGATGTGAATATTGAAGCTCAAAGCAACTTTGTGATTTTCCAAATCTCATAGCTAATAGAGCTTGGCTCCAGAGTCAGAATTTCTGGGTTTGAATTTTGTTGTTCCTATTGATTCACTGTGTGACCCTGGGCAAGTTAGTTAACCTGGGATCCAAAGCTTCTGCATTTGTCAACTGGGCACAGTAAGAGTGCATCCTCTAACATTATTGTAAGGATTTAAATGGATGGTCCATATTAAGTGCTTCCAGCAGTGTCTTGTACATCGTGAGTGCCCAGTAGAGATGGTTCTTATTCTGATTAGGATTATGATCATGTGTCCAGATATTTCTGACTGCCGCTTTTTAGGAAAAACCAGAACATTTTTTTTACTGGTCTTTCCTAAAACAACAATACCTTGAAAATCTAACTGTTTCAAAAATGGAGAGGGACAGTCTTTAGTGTACTTAGCTCTTTAAAATATGAAGGCATTTCCACAAGCTATTGAGCAACGTTTTTACCAATACCAGAGGCCACTGCGCAAAAATGTAAAAAAAACAAGGATTGAGCCTCGGAGGCACAAACTCTAGGAATTTAACGAATTTATACTTGCAGTAGTTATGTGAATGCTTCTGAGAACAGTAATTTTCCTCCCAGCATTGTTTGTATCTTGTTTAAAATATTGATTTTAACGAATGAATGGAATACACCAAGGATTAACATTATTGACTGCAAGTTGTCTTCATACAATACCTGGCATGCAGATATAACAGGTAAAAATCATAGTATGCTTGTATATGTTATATAAGTATACATATACTAACTCAATTCACAGAACAACCTTAGGAAGTAGATGTTCATATTGAGCCCATTTTATAGATAAAGACATTGAGGAAGAGAGGTCATATAAAATATAATATGGAGGAAAGACAAATTGAACTGTGGACTCTCATGACCCTTTGAGAGGTTATTAACTTCTTTTGTGAGTAAACTGTATGATACGCTCCTGCAGAGAGTACTAGTGTTTTGCCAAGTGTGAAGGTAATGGTTTGGACATGTTCATCTACTGCTATTTATTTTGAGAAATGGTGTTGGTTTTGTATTGTGTAAAGTTACTCTATCAACCTAAACTTCATATGGAAGGTGATAAATTCTAGCCCAATCACATTAACTCATGTCACTCTGAAAATAATCAAGGCAGGAGGTTATAATTGATTGTGTAGGAAAGGTTCATCTACCAAGAAACAGGAGCAAGTTTGGAAAGTAGCAGCAACATTACAGGTCTTTCTTGGGAATTTGTGTGCCCTATCTGTAGTTTCCCTTTGTGTTCCCCTGTCTAAGTGGTGTCCAGTCCCCAGAAACAGCTGTGAATTGGGAAAGGGGCAGGGGTGAAAGGCCCATTTCAGAGCCCTGCACTCCCCACAGCTGAGCACAGCTTTCACTCCAGGGTTCCTCTGCGGGGAACCTGGAAATACCCGAAAATCCTTCAGCTGCCTTTCCCTGGAAGTTGCCACAATCAGCTACTATACTGAACAGGGCTGGTTTTATTGGCACGTGACCTGTACAGTTGCACAGGCCCCTGCTTGCTTTAATGATGTGTTGTTGCCATCTTAAATGCTTAATGATTTTTGAACCAGTTGTTCCACATTTTTATTTTTCACTGGACTTCACAAATTATATAGCTGATCCTAAAACTGTTTTTAGCACTTTAAAAAAAATTTCTAGCAAGCAGAACACCAGGACGTGTAGCTGGTGGCTGGTAATTAAAACAGATGACATTGTCATAAGAGTGAGCCTAGGATGGCTGGGTGCGATGGCTCACGCCTGTAATCCCAGAACTTTGGGAGGCCGAGGCGGGCGGATGATGAGGTCAAGAGATCGAGACCATCCTGGCCAAGATGGTGAAACCCCGTCTCTACTAAAAAATACAAAAATTAGCTGGGCGTGGTAGCGCGCGCCTGTAGTCCCAGCTACTCAGGAGGCTGAGGCAGGAGAATTTCTTGAACCCAGGAGGCAGAGATTGCAGAGAGCCGAGATTGCAACCCTGCACTCCAGCCTGGCGCCTGGTGACGGAGCAAGACTCCGTCTCGAAAAAAAAAAAAGAGTGAGCTTAGGGTAATGCAAACTGCATGAGACACTGGGGTTAGAGAAGACTAGACTTGAAATTTCGCCCCACCTCTGCCTTGCTGTGTGACCTTGAGTAAGTTTCATAACCTCTCTGACCCTCAGTTTCCACACCTGTAAATTGGGGATAATAATATCTACTTCATTTTCACAACCTCTGAGAGGAGCCTGTTCTACCCATCCTTCTGGCTGTGGTTTAGGATACTTCCTCTGTGTTCCTGGAGCCTCTTGTTCTTATCCTTGCCAAAGCCCTCATTACATAATTTTGGAAATTATATTTCTGCATAACCATCTTCCCACTAGACTATGAGAGCTTTGATGACTTGAATGAGCCTTGATTTTCCCTGTGTCCCCAGAACCCAGGGGCCCTGGCCTTGATAGGCAGAAAGAATTGTTTCTTGGCCTAATAGTAATAGCACAAGCTATAAAGAATACATGCTCTATAAAGAATAACAACGAATTTACAAAATATGTGTTGGAAATAATATACGAGAAGTGTGTAAACCCAAGATATTTCCCTACCTAAATTTTCTTCACTCAGAGAGGGCATGGCCTTTTATCCTTTTTTCTGAACCATCAAGAACCAGTGTTTTCCTAATATCTTAACTTAATAGTGTAACTGGCACCTTCTGTTACTCCCTCAGCCTCGGATTTGGCCTCACAGTGGGCCTGCATTGGACATGGCACTGAAGGCTTCCCAAACACAGTGTTATTGATGCTAAATAGGCTCTCAAGAAATATTTCTTGAATAAATGCCTTGTTAGATTAACAGAAGCCAGCTAATTACATTATTTTATTTTATAGGTAAAAGGCTTAGATATCATTTGGTCTTATATTAGCAAAACCGAGGACATGAGCTAAGAAGTCTGTGGAATTGTGAAATTCAAGTGAGCGTGTTCACACATACACAAACAGCCCACTCTCCTGGTGTTCTGTTTTTCTATGACCACTCATCTCCAGTCAGTTTCACTTTTTCTCCTCTCCTGTGTTCCATTTTCACATCAACACACTATACTGCAAATGCCATCAAACTCATCACATACAGACTTTTATTGAGGTTCTTAGATTGTGTGACTGCCTTCCCATACATAATGTGAGATTCTTGAGGGCAAGGAACATGCTATCCTGGTCATTACAAAAAACAGAATCCAAAATAATACCTAAAATATGGTAGGAGTAACTGAATTGTTGTTTAATTAATTAATCTGTTGTGATACATATGAAAATATCTGCCTTCCAATTTGGGGGTCGTTGTGTAGGCATCATTATTCTGTAGACACTATCTGTATAGGCAATATGTGTGAGGCTTTGTTCTATCAGTTACCAGATACACTCTAATATTCAGCTGTAAGGAATTGAAGGAGAATTATTCCAATTCCTCTTTCTACAGCACTTTGCATAGTAAGTAGTACACTTTTCTTTTTTTTTTTTTTGAGACGGAGTTTCGCTAGTTACCCAGGCTGAAGTGCAATGGCGTGATCTCCGTTCATCGCAACCTCCGCCTCCTGAGTTCAGGCAATTCTTCTGCCTCAGCC